CATCTTTGTACGAACGCCACCGTATTTATCATCGAGGTCAATGACTTTAAAACTGTTGAATAGATTATTTTTCGTCCTATCGACAAACATTTTTACGTTACGTTTTATTTCGAAAACATACTCTTCCACGACATTTTTTATTACTGATTGCCTGGAATTAAAATAGTACGACTCGTCATTAACTGTAATTACTTGGTGAGTCTGTCTGTAAGATGATAGGCGGTCCTGAAATGTATTACAATCGCATCGTTTCATCTAAATAAACAGATTGGAAAACATCTTTTCGATCATCAAACGTACTGGCAAAGCTTTGAAATCATTTGTGTGCGTTTTGTTAGATAGAGCTCATAACTTACGCCAACACAATGATTTCAAAGCCTTGCCAGTACGTTTGATGATCGAAACAATGTTTTTATGACCTGTTTACAACCTGTTTATTTCGATGAAACGACCCGATTGTTATAGCACCCTTTGATTCAGTGTTCATTATGTACGAGCCCGTCATTCAGATAGAGCTCACAGCCCGCACGATGATTTAAAAGCCTTCCAAACAATGTTTTTTATGACCTGTTTACAACCTGTTTATTTCGATGAAACGACCCGATTGGATAACACCCTTTGATTGAACGTTCATTATGTACGAGCCCGAGTCGGTTTGACGTATTGTCCAGAAAACAAGTCGTCCGATGGTAAAAATTCGCGAAGAGATGGTCTGAAAAAAAACCGGGTACCGTGCGAGGTCGCATCGAAACAGTAGAAACAAAAGATTTTTTGCTTCCGAGCTTGTGTAAAACTATATTAAAAACATCGCTTGTTTCTCAATGAAGTAAAGCGTTTACAAACACACACTCGCCCAACCTAATGAATTAGTAGCCGGTATAGAATATGACTTTATTTAGCGATGAACGATGTGGTTTCTTTAAAGCGACAGACTATCCGTACTGGTAGTACTAATCGTTAATAAAAAGCGATCAACTACGCAGTCTTGAAAACCCAATGGGGGAGCGGGGGAAGAGGAACAAAAAAAACGTTACACGTTTCTGTCTTACTAACAAACAACGCAGTCTGTGGCTAAATAAATTGAAAACTCGTACGTTTATCTGATTGACTGAATAAGAAAGTCGATTTCAATATTAACGAACGAAAATGCTCTATCATTTCTTAAGGCAGTCATAATTCTTGACAAAATTTGTCATAAATCACATGACATTAGTTTATTGTGTACAATCATGAAGTTAATGTCTCATGGTACAATGAAATAGTGTGTTATACTTTTTGAAAAACGTGTCCTAATATTTCTTGAAAATTGATATTTTTTGAACAATTCCATAGAACACAGTGTTAAAGAAAAACTGTATTTTTGACACTTTCTAAAACCCAAATTACTCCCTCATTAACAATATATGATTTTCCAGCATATGATGTCAGCGGACTAGATTGTGGGATATTGCATAATATCTCTGCCATAGGAATCTGTGGTAAAAGTGTTATAATAGTGGTGAAATGGTGACTTTCCACAACCATGATTATCTCGAAAAAAAGGCTTAAATCAGATATTGCAAAATGAATAAATTCTGTGTTTTTTTTTGTTTTTTTTTTGTTTGTTTTTTTATTTATGAGTAGACCTTAAGTCAGATAGAAGTTAACGCAAGAGCTTAGCGTTGTTCGTTACGAATAAAATGTTTCGTTCGTACAAGTTTATTTTTTAAATCCATGAGTGCGTTGTTCGTTACTCGGTCGACCCGGTGATAGATAGAGGTACACGATCCTTCGCCTTTGTTGTGCATGCGCTGTTGTTTGTCTTTCAGATAGAGAGAAATAAAAAGCCTCATGTACAATTTTCGTTCGTACAAAAAACGGGTACTGTGCGAGGTCGCGTCGAAACGACAGACTCGGCGGTTTAACGAAGGATTTTGATATTATATTTAATTATATTAAAAACATAGCTTGAGACGAAATTCGTTTTACTCAATGGAAGAGTAAACCGTTTACAAACAAACACACACACACACACACACACACA